TTTATTATTAATCTATACAAATTAATATTGTAGTTCTTTAAAGATTATTATTAGTATTCCTAATTATTATGATTTTGATTGTGCAACACTGTACAATGGGTTAATGAGTAATATAAGTAAATCCAACATCATAATTTTACTTAGAGAAAGGTAAGGTACTGAAATTCCTGTTAAAATGAGCTTACAGTGTGAAGTAAATTGGATACAGATGACACAAAAAGTAACCAAAATGTAATATTAGAGCAATTGTAGAATAGTAGAGTGATCTGACCAAAGTGACAACATAAATGATAGACTGTATATAACTACAGAAAGGATAACATAAAAATGGATAATTTGGCAGGGGAAGGCATTTCCTAAAGGAACCCTTCGTCTGAAGTGCGTTAAGGGTTAACAGAGTGCCCCCCTTTATAACGTTATAAAAGGGCTGATTTCAAAATAAATCTGCTCTTCTAAAAACGTCCTGAGTGTACCCTCTAATGCTTCTCTCCTTTCGTTGATTCAGGGGCTGGTTGAAACTAGATGTGAGGCTTCTCATAGATAAATATTCAATTTAGTTGTTCTCTATGAAAAGCATTGGATTGAAGGGGAGGTCATCACTACTGATCATCTCTTGAGGGCAAAGCAGCGAAGAACCCTCAAGTAGCAAGGAACGCTCTTTTCATTGGGATAGAAGTGACTAAATTTTTATCTTAGAGGAAAATGGGGGAAAGCAATCCAAAAACACATAAACATCTATTTATGTATAAAGCTGAAGTGCTCTTTAACTGATTAAATAGCAGTGAAAAATCTAGGTGACTGAGGATGGTAGCTCCAAAACAAAGATGCAGTCCCAAAGAATTTTTGAAAAAAATGAGTTACCTGGTTGACTGTATGCATTCATTGCAGATATGGTATATTTTAAAATACATCTCTAACCATTTCAAATAATGTCTAATTCCTTCACAGTTTTTTTTTTAAATCTATATTGAAGAAGCAAAGCGAGCTTTACAGTATAACACAAATGTCATGATAATAGCTTATTAAAATGATCTGTGTGGAGAAGATGGAAATAATATGACAGGATAGAACAACTGGAATAACATAATTGTTTTATTCATTTGAAACATGTTCTCTATTCCAGTTATTTTGTAGTTAGAATATGAATGTTAACATATTGAAATAGCTGTGATAACTTTCTGCACTTTGTTTTCATAAAATGCACATGTGGTTTATTTATATTGGTTGACAGTTGTCTATTATTAGACATATTCAAGATAAAATTAATAAATTATATTAAACAAATATAATTAACCGTTTTCTGTGAACTTGTAAACTGGAGCTGAAACAGTCATAAGAGTTTAAGTTTTAATATATAACGAGCAAAGATGGAAATAAGCTGAAAGAGGAATTTGAACTCAGATGGGATTTATTCACTAAACACTAATAAAGAAAATGCGCAATCTAGTCAAAAATAGGCGAGATGTGACTAGAGCTTAGATGTAGATTTTTATTTTCCAAATAAATACTTTTTTTATATAAATACATCTCAGAACAATATAATCTGACACAGCGTTCATTCCTTTAAATGACGAACTAATATAACTATTCTGAATCCAGAAGGACAATCACAATTTTAGGCTTCTGTTTTGCAGTCCCAGGTTTGTTTTTTGGTGTTTTGCTTTTGGGGACACCAGGTAACTATCTTCAAAAACAATAGAACAAGTGCATCATTAGGCATACTTGCACTTTGCTAAGATACTTAGGACCATGCACAGGGCATTGTAACAATGATGTTTGGATTTAATCCTAAGGTGTTCTTAATAGTGTTTATGTCCATGGTACAATATTGTAGTTGCCCTACTTTTGATGAGCTAAACACAGGGCTTGAGTCCTGCAGGAATGTGTGGGAACGACGTTCCTGCACTTTTTTTGCAGCAAGAACGCCATTCCCGTTGATCCTGCAGGCACTAACCAGGGGGCGGCAAAAAATGCCGTTCCCGAATGCCCCCAGTGTTCCCCTGTCATGGGGGGGCAAGAGGTGGCCTGCTGGCCACCTGATGGACTCCCCCCGGTGGGCGACTGTATACCTGTCAGACGCGGCGGGGGAGCTGTGTTCTCTCTGATCTGCTCCCTCGCACGCTGTTTGCTGATGCCGGGAGCCAGAATATGACATCAGATTCTGGCTCCCGGCATCAGTAGACAGCTTGCGCGGCGTGAGGTAGAAGATCAGAGAGAACACAGCTCCCCCGTCGTATCTGACAGTAACTCTGCTGCCTGCCACACTGAAGCCCCACTGGACCCCAGGGATAGATCCACGCCAGCTCTCCAGGTAGGGGGGCTGGGTGGTCATTTGTAAATGTTAAAAATATGAATAATTTGTGTGTTTCTGTGAGTGTATGTGTCTGAGTATGTATGTGTGTGTTTCTGAGTGCTTATGTGTGTCTGTGCACACGTTTATATATGCATACAAGTGTATAATTATTATTCTTTTTTGGAGAGAGGAGGTTGGATCTTGGGTGAGTTCCCACACTTTTTTCCCCAGGACTTAACCCCGGGCTAAACACATGTGTGGTGTTGTTCCTCCGTTACTGTGTACAGTTGCTCCGTAATCCTACAGTCAGTATGTATGTTGATCTGTCCATGTTCAGCACTTAATAAGGCTGGCCAGTATGATTGACAGTCAGCTTCATGTGAAGTCACTACAGGCTGATTTGCCACTCTTTTAGACCCATTGTAGCAATTTCGCTTCTTTGGTGGATGACAGGAATGTAGGTTGTATCTCTAGCCCACCCCTTTAGGCACACCCACTCCATCCCAATTTACATACCTTACAATGCTGGGGTTTTGTTTATTTGATCTACAGTTTTTTTAATGTTGTCTCCATATTAAAGATATAAAGAATTATTTATTCTGATGAGGTAATATAAACAGATTAGATGACATAGTAAAGGTACAAGTAAGTAAAGTGATTTGCAGAGGAACAGAATGTTAAAAAATATTGGCAACAATGAATTTCAGACCAGTGCCCTGCATAATCATGAGACTTGTTCTTTTACTTGCAGCAATAACAAATTCTAGACTATTTCCCAATGAGAGTTCATTTTTTCTCCTTGTGGGTGGTGTGTTTGTTATTCATGTTACAACAGGGATACTTCCCTTTCATGTACTTTGCTATGTCAAATAATTACATTTCTTGAATTAAAATGTTTCACAGCAGTTAAAGTGCATGACAGAATATTTTCTAGCATACCACAGTAAAAACTATTCACCATTGTAGTTCAGTAAAATAGTTGTTTTCCATTTCATAAAAAGAGGAAATATTGTAAAAAAAATTTAAAAAATCAGCGTTTTCTCTATCTACTGTGTTTTTGTACAATTTAAAAAAATGCAAACACAGTTCAAGATTTGGGGAAAATAAAAATGTTGAATATATTTTAAAACGGCAGATTATTTTAAGTCCGTTAAATAGAAAATACATGCATGTACAAACACGTGCAAGTAGATTAAAACTTGCATTAGGTGTTCTCACGTGAAAGTAATCCAGTCACAATTTGTTGATCATTTATGGGATAAATAAGAAGCATATTTTTTTCAATGACTGATTTCAACATATGGAAGTGTAAATCTCAGTTCCCCAGTTCCCATATTTTCTATATTTATATGCTCGTTACTATAAAACAGTATATATGATTTGTCATTCACATATACATTTCATTTGTGATGCTGCCTGTCAGATTGTGTAACATCCATAAAAGTCATACAAGAAGCTTAACTATAAATCCCTGGCAACTACTGTCATTTTTTTTGAAGCGTTGCACTTTTGGTAGTATAAAATCCTCTTCAACTTTACTGAGTAATTGATAGATTTCCTATGTAAAATTGCATTTTATAGGGAGTCCCAGGACAGGAAATAATTGGTCCCTATCATTACATGACATTGGATTCAACTGAGACAGCATGGTAGATAGATGTTTAGTAGATGTTAGAACCAGCATTAACACCAATATAATAAATCATTGCTCTTAAATCTCATTACAAGATTGGTTACGTATATACTCTTACTTATAGGGGCAACCTGACAACAATAACCCTCCATTGCCCAACCTCATGAATGTTCAAGTCCCTCCAAATCTGAATAAAATCCAATAATACCATTTGATATTAATGAAAGAAAAAAAAACAGTTGATATTAGTTTACTTTTGCTAATTATACTTTTTATTTTAGGCTCTTTATCACCTTTTTTAAAAGGAGTCCTATCAAAATTATGCACTTTATTCAATATTAATACATTCTATTTAAACCTCGCTAATAAAAATGACCAATGATTTTGTTGTTGCAAGTAGTGATGCACCGAACGGTTCGCTGGCGAATAGTTCCTGGCGAACATAGCATGTTCGCGTTTGCCACGGCGGGCGAACATATGCGCGGTTCGATCCGCCCCCTATTGGTCATCATTGAGTAAACTTTGACCCTGTACCTCACAGTCAGCAGACACATTCCAGCCAATTAGCAGCACACCCTCCATAGCAGACCCTCCCACCTACTGGAAGGCATCCATTTTACATTCATTCTCAAGCTGCATGCTTAGTGAGAGGAGGGAAAGTGTAGCTGCTGTTGATTAGATAGGAAAATGCATAGCTAGGTTAGGGTTAGGGTATGCTTTTTTTTTTTCTGTGTAATGTAATTGCAGTTAGTTGTCTGCCACTGCTGCCAGCTTCTGTGTCAGGCTCACAGTGGATACTGTGCCCATTTGCCCAGTCAGTGCCACCACTCATATCTGGTGTCACAATAGCTTGCATTTAAAAACAAAAAACTTTTTTCACTGTTATAGATTGAATAGCAGTCAGTGTCCTTAAAGCGGGTGTGTTAGCTCACAGTGGATACGGTGCCCAGTGCCACCACTCATATCTGGTGTCACAATAGCTTGCATTTAAAAACAAGAAACTTTTTTCACTGTTATAGATTGAATAGCAGTCAGTGTCCTTAAAGCGGGTGTGTCAGGCTCACAGTGGATACTGTGCCCAGTGCCACCACTCACTCACTGGTGTCACAATAGCTTGCATTTAAAAACAAAAAACTTTTTTCACTGTTATAGATTGAATAGCAGTCAGTGTCCTTAAAGCGGGTGTGTCAGGCTCACAGTGGATACTGTGCCCAGTGCCACCACTCACTCACTGGTGTCACAATAGCTTGCATTTAAAAACAAAAAACTTTTTTCACTGTTATAGATTGAATAGCAGTTAGTTGTCTCAAAGCAGGTGTGTCAGGCTCACAGTGGATACTGTGCCCAGTGCCACCACTCACTCACTGGTGTCACAATAGCTTGCATTTAAAAAATAAAAAACTTTTTTCACTGTTATAGATTGAATAGCAGTTAGTTGTCTGCCAGCGTCAGTGTCAGGCTCACAGTGGATACTGTGCCCAGTGCCACCACTCACTCACTGGTGTCACAATAGCTTGCATTTAAAAACCAAAAAACTTTTTTCACTGTTATAGATTGAATAGCAGTTAGTTGTCTCAAAGCGGGTGTGTCAGGCTCACTTTGGATACTGTGCCCAGTGCCACCACTCACTCACTGGTGTCACAATAGCGTGCATTTAAAAAATAAAAAACTTTTTTCACTGTTATAGATTGAATAGCAGTTAGTTGTCTCAAAGCGGGTGTGTCAGCCCTACAGCGTGTACTCTGCCAACCTCTGCCAGTTCACAGTGCCACTCATATCTGGTGTCACAGTAGCTTGCACGCATAGTACCACTAATAGAAAAAAAAATGACAGGCAGAGGCAGGCCACCCCGCAGGGGCCGTCGTGGTCGTGGTGCTGTGATTCCCTTTTGCCCTAGAATAATGCCCAGTTTTCAGAGGCCAGGTACCCTGAACTTGAAAAGTTCTGAGGACATAGTTGACTGGCTAACACAGGACACCCAATCTTCTGCAGCTTCCGCTCAGAACCTTGACGCAACATCCTCCTCCAGCTTAGCTTTGGGCACCTTTCAAGATACCACTCACCCGCCTGCCGCCACCACCAACACTAGCACCACAGCCGCTTCATTTGGTATGTCAGAGGAGTTATTTACACATCCGTTTGAAGAAATGAGTGATGCGCAACCATTATTGACAGAGGATGTAGATAACAGGGATATGTCTCAATCAGGCAGCATTACACATGTACAGTGTGATGATGATGATGTTGTACCCACTGCTGCTTCCTTTGCTGAGTTGTCAGATACAAGTGAAGCGGTTGATGATGACGATGCGTCCATGGATGTCACATGGGTGCCCGCTCGTCAAGAAGAAGAACAGGGCGAAAGTTCAGATGGGGAGACAGGGAGGAGGAGGAGACGAGTTGGAAGCAGGGGGAGGTCGTCGCAAGGAGCTAGTGGCACAGTCAGACAGCATGCATCGACACCCGGGGTCAGCCCGACAGCACGCCAATCAACGCATGCTGTGTCCACCACCAGAATGCCGTCATTGCAGAGCTCAGCAGTGTGGAATTTTTTTTGTGTGTCTGCCTCTGACAACAGCGATGCCATTTGCAACCTGTGCCAAAGAAACTGAGTCGTGGGAAGTCCAACACCCACCTAGGTACAACTGCTTTGCGTAGGCACATGATCGCACATCACAAACGCCTATGGGATCAACACATGAGTACAAGCAGCACACAAACTCAAAGCCGCCATCCTCCTCCTGGTCCAGCATCTTCAGCCACGTCAACCACTGCTGTCTCAACCATCCGCCACTCCGTCTCTCGCCTTGAGCAGTTCCTGCTCATCTGCCCACAGTCAGGTGTCAGTCAAGGACATGTTTTAGAGTAAGAAGCCAATGTCAGAAAGTCACCCCCTTGCCCGGCGCCTGACAGCTGGCTTGTCTGTACTATTAGCCCGCCAGCTTTTACCATACAAGCTGGTGGAGTCTGAGGCGTTCAAAACATTTGTAGCTATTGGAACACCGCAGTGGAAGGTACCCGGACAAAATTTATTTTCACAAAAGGCAATCTCCAACATGTACTCGATTGTGCAAAAGGAAGTAATGGCATGTCTGGCACACAGTGTTGGGGCAAGGGTCCATCTGACCACTGATACCTGGTCTGCAAAGCATGGTCAGGGCAGGTATATCACCTACACTGCGCATTAGGTAAACCTGCTGACGGCTGCCAAGCATGGAATGCGTGGCTCTGCAGAGGAGTTGGTGACACCGCCACGACTTGCAGGCAGGCCTGCTACCACCTCCTCTACTCCTCCTACTCCATCCTCTTCCATAACCTCCTCGGCTGAGTCCTCTTCTGCTGCTGCGTCTTGCTCCACATCAACGGCACACCCCCAGCTCCCCAGGTACTATTCCACATCCCGTATACGGCAGTGTCACGCCGTCTTGGGTTTGACTTGCTTGAAAGCAGAGAGTCACACCGGACAAGCACTCCTGTCCGCCCTGAACGCACAGGTGGAAAAGTGGCTGACTGCGCAGCAACTGGAGATCGGCAAAGTGGTTTGTGACAACGGAACAAATTTGTTGGCAGCATTGAAGTTGGGCAAGTTGACACATGTGCCGTGCATGGCACATGTGTGTAATCTGATAGTACAACGCTTTGTGCATAAGTACACAGGCTTACAGGACGTCCTGAAGCAGGCCAGGAAGGTGTGTGGCCATTTCAGGCGTTCCTACACGGCCATGGCGCACTTTGCCGATATCCAGCGGTGAAACAACATGCCAGTGAGGCGCTTGATTTGCGACAGCCTGACACGTTGGAATTCAACACTCCTAATGTTCGACCGCCTGCTCCAACAAGAAAAAGCCGTTAATGAATATTTGTATGACCGGGGTACTAGGACAGCCTCTGGGGAGCTGGGAATTTTTTTGCCACGTTACTGGACGCTCATGCGCAATGCCTGTAGGCTCATGCGTCCTTTTGAGGAGGTGACAAACCTAGTCAGTCACACCAAAGGCACCATCAGCGACATCATACCATTTGTTTTCTTCCTGGAGCGTGCCCTGTGAAGAGTGCTGGATCAGGCCGTAGATGAGCGTGAAGAGGAAGAGGAAGAGTTGTGGTCACCATCACCACCAGAACCAGCCTTATCAGCATAGCTTGCTGGACCTGCGGCAACGCTGGAAGAGGATTGTGAGGAAGAGGAGTCAGAGGAGGAAAGTGGCTTTGAGGAGGAGGAGGAAGACCAACCACAACAGGCATCCCAGGGTGCTCGTTGTCACCTATCTGGTACCCGTGGTGTTGTACGTGGCTGGGGGAAAGAACATACCTTCATTGAGATCACTGAGGAGGAGGAACGGGAAATGAGTAGCTCGGCATCCAACCTTGTGCAAATGGGGTCTTTCATGCTGTCGTGCCTGTTGAGGGACCCTCGTATAAAAAGGCTGAAGGAGAACGACCTGTACTGGGTGTGCACGCTACTAGACCCCTGGTATAAGCAGAAAGTGGCTGAAATGTTACCAAATTACAACAAGTCGGAAAGGATGCAGCATTTGCAAAATAAATTAAAAAGTATGCTTTAACCAGCGTATAAGGGTGATGTCACAGCACAACAAGAATCTTACAGGGGAAGAGGTGAAAGTAATCCTCCTCCTCCCACGACCACGCCGGCAAGGACAGGATGCTTTACAGATGTGTTGTTGATGGAAGACATGCAGAGCTTTTTAAGTCCTACGAATCGCCACAGCCCTTCGGGATCCACCCTCAGAGAATGACTCGACTGACAGGTAGCAGACTACCTCGCCTTAACTGCAGATATCGACACTCTGAGGAGCGATGAACCCCTTCACTACTGGGTGTGCAGGCTTGACCTGTGGCCTGAGCTATCCCAATTTGCGATAGAACTTCTGGCCTGCCCCGCTTCAAGTGTCCTGTCAGAAAGGACCTTCAGTGCAGCAGGAGGTATTGTCACTGAGAAGAAAAGTCGCCTAGGTCAAAAAAGTCTAGATTACCTCACCTTTATTAAGATGAATGAGGGATGGATCCCGACGGGACTGACAGTGGGCGATACATCCGACTAAAAAAGAACTGATGAGATGAGCTGCCTTGTGCTAAAAATGGTCCACACACTGCTGTATTTTAGCTCTGAATGCCGGTTGACCTGCGTGACTTATCCGCCACCAACTAGGGTTCAAGCCGCAATGTTTTAGGGCAGTGCTCCCCAACCTTTTTATCGCCGCGGACCGGTAAACGTTTGATCCACGTACCGGTCCGCGGTCCGGGGGTTGGGGAACACTGTTTTAGGGCACTTTCTGCCTGGGAAACAAACATCAATTCTTCTGGCCGCTGCTACAGCAGCGGCTGCAACAATATCTAATTTTTCAGGCATGTGTACATGCCTAATTTTTCGGGCCTCTGGTGCTGCACTGTGGTTTCAAAAACCAAACCAAAAAAAGGCACATAACAGGGATTAAACTGATAAGAATAATACTACTTAACACACCTTATAATAACGCAGAGAGAGGCAACGCAGAGAGAGGAGTCTGAAGAAGAGGAGTCAGAGGAGGAAGGTGGCTTTGAGGAGGTGGAAGACCAAACACAGCAGGCGTCCCAGGGGGCTTGTTGTCACCTTTCGGGGACCCTTGGTGTTGTACGTGGCTGGGTGGAGGAAGAGACCTTCAATGACATCAGTGAGGACAAGGAACGGGACATGGCTAGCTTGGTATCCAACCTTGTGCAAATGGGGAGTTTGCGGTTGTGCAAATGGACTGTTTGCGGTTGTTTGCGGTGCGTTAAACGGGGAGTTTGGTCTGTCACTGTGAAGCGGGCGTAACCCTTACACTACCTGATTGATACAACATCATACCGTAGGTCCCCCCCTCATTATTTTTATGGCCCCCACCCACCGCTCACTGGTGGGGGTGGGCGGGAGGACAGTAGGTCCCCCCCCCATTGAGATTTATGGCCCCCACCCACCGTGCAGGGGTGGGGGTCAGGGGGGAGGACAGTAGGTTATACTGAATATTCCCCTGTATAACAATGTTTGGCATTTAGTGAATATTCCCTATTCTGCTCTGTGTCAGTGTGTATCAGGGATCCTTAGGACAGGTGTCAATGCATATCTGCCAAGTGACTCTATGTAGGGGGAACAGTCTCTATACTGCTCTGTGTCAGTGTGTATCATGATCTCTGAGGACAGGTGTCAATCCATATCTGCCAAGTGACCCTATGTAGGGGGAACAGTCTCTATTCTGCTCTGTCAGTGTGTATCAGGGGCTCTGAGGACAGGTGTCAATCCATATCTACCAAGTGACCCTATGTAGGGGGAACAGTCTCTATTCTGCTCTGTGTCAGTGTGTATCATGGTCTCTGAGGACAGGTGTCAATCCATATCTGCCAAGTGACCCTATGTAGGAGGAACAGTCTCTGTTCTGCTCTGTGTCAGTGTGTATCAGGGATCTCTGAGGACAGGTGTCAATCCATATCTGCCAAGTGACCCTATGTAGGGGGAACAGTCTCTATTCTGCTCTGTGTCAGTGTGTATCATGGTCTCTGAGGACAGGTGTCAATCCATATCTGCCAAGTGACCCTATGTAGGGGGAACAGTCTCTAT